GGGGAAATTTAATAATTGAAGTTGCTATGATAATTTATCGTTCGATGAATAATAATAATCGGAAATAATTGTAATGCGAACGTTCGAGGTTACAGGAAAAGTGGATCAATTGTAATACGAATAAATGTTACTGAAGTATTTTAATAAGTAATTATTTAAAGTAAGTTTCATTTTTAATTAAGTTAAAAATTTTTTCAATGAGTTGATCAAATTCTGATCGTAGATGATGTGAAATAGATTAAGTTAGGTTAGGATACGTTTGCAACATTTAATTCGAAGAAAAATAGTAGGTTATGTTTGACTCTAATTTGAAAAAGAGGTGGCTGATACGTTTATATGGATGTGATGGGAGAAATTTAATAATTGCTACGATAATTTCTCGTTCGATAAATAATAATAATTGGAAATAATTGTAATGCCAAACATATCGAGATTACACGAAAGGCGGATCAATTATAATAAATGTTATTTAATAAGTAATTATTTAAAGTAACTTTATTCGAGATTTTCAACTAATTTATTTTTAATTTTTTCAGCAGGTTAATGCCCAACTTTGATCGTGGATGATGTAAAATAGATTAGGTTAAGTTTGCAGTATTTGATTTTAATTCAGAGAAAAGTAGCACGCTCGGTAAGGTAGTTTATGTTTAATCAATTTGAAAAGGAGGTTTGATACGTGGATCGTGAACAGTGATGGGGAAAATTTAATAATTGTAACGCCAAGCTGTCGAGGTTACACGAAATCAACTATAATAGTTACAGATAAATGTTACACGAGCATTTTAATAAATAATTACTTAAAGTAACTTTATTCGAGAATTCCTAACTTTTTCAACGGGTTAATGTCCAACTCTGATCGTGGGTGATGTGAAATAAATTAGGTTAGATTAAATTTGCAGTATTTGATTTTAATTCGAGGAAAAGTAACACGCTCGGTAAGGTAGTTTATGTTTGATTAATTTGAAAAAGAGATGGCTGATACGTTTACGTGGATCGTGGACAGTGATGGGGGAAATTTAATAATCGAAGTTGTTTGTGTAATGCCAAACATATCGAGGTTACACGAAAAACGGATCAATTATAATTAAACGAATAAATATTACTTAAATATTTTAATAATTTAAATATTTTTTAATGTGAAGTGAACTAAGTTAGGTTAGGTTTGCATTTTATTTGATTTTAATTCGAGGAAAAGTAGTAGCTTATATTTAACTTTAATTTGAAAGAAAGGTATCCGACACGTTTACAATGAATCATGAACAATGATGGGAAAAATTTAATAGTTTCAAGTTACGAATAAAAAACTTACTTCTATAAGTTATTTCCCGTTAATGCCCAATTCTGTTCGTGGACGATGTAAAATAAATTAGGTTATGTTTACGATACTCGATTTTAATTCGAAGAAAACTAGTAAATACACTTGGTGAGATAGCTTATTTTTAAAAAACAGATAGTGATATTTTTGAGTATCGTAAGAATCGTATTGCAGAAAGAAAATGATAAGAGATATTTTATCGCAATTCGATTCGAATTTCGTTTCTAAAGAGCATATTTGAGAATCGTGTTGTACAGAGAGAAAAAGTCGATTCTGATTCGAGAGGAAAGAAATATTCGTGATAATATTTACGAGTCCGAGAGCAAGAATATACATCTCCTATTCGATTTTAATTCGAAGAAAAATAACACGTATATTCGATGTACATCAGAGAGAAAAATTTTACCAGAAAAACGATATCTTTATATCTCACTATATCTTCTCCAATTTAATTTATACTACAGAGAGAAACAATCGTTTAAAATCGTTTTAATCATCGTCTCTCTTTCCCCCCCCCCCCCATCCAGCTGAATAATTTTACACGAATAATCGAAACGATACGTGAAAAATACGATACGTGAAACAAATGAACGGAACAACGAATCCCCCTTTCGCGACGGCGAAAGAAAGGCTGTCGGAAGTATGAGCGCGGGACAGGTTTTCCCAACTGGCGTGCCGCCAAATCAGTATGTAATTTACTGTCTCCATTTTGCTTACTTCCGTACGGCGGTCGTACAATGCGTTTCTCGGGGTTGAAACTGGGTCAAGAATAGAATTTGAAGGGAAAATACGACCAACGTTTCCACGTTTGTATATTATTCCATGAATATTCACACTGACGACTCCGATTCCAACTTTGCATAAAGAAAATTGAACGATGAAACCGAATTAATCCTCCTTCTCCTTCTCTCTCTCTCTCTCTCTCTCTCTCTACGCTTCCTTTATTTCTTTCTATAAATTGAATATCGATATGTATCTCGTCACGATTAATAAATTAATATTAATCCACGTATAAATAGCTACGAAAAGAATATTTTTCCGCTGTTAATTTTCTTAATAAAAACGAAAAAAGAAAAAGAAAAAGAAAAAGAAAAAGGACGTCGCATTTATTAATAATCGAACGCTCATCTCGCTTTTTACGCATCCGCTTTTGAAAAATGTTATACTCGAGAAATACTTGTTACAATTTCCATTATGAATAATTTTCAAGTATGAATAATTGACCGTAACAGTTTCCTCCGGACGCATAAATAGGTTGTCTGGTCTCCGGATATCGTAAATCTCGTTTTTCACCCTTCCCGTAACGTAACTGTTCGCGTCGTTTACATGGTTATTACTAGATGTTAGTCGCGTGTTATTAGAATCAATATTTTCCTCCGTCAGACAGATTGCAATGCGGTAATGGAAGGCACATTGTAGATTCTTGTTGTATCGGTTATATACGTATTATTCGACAAGAGGGCGTGGAGATTTGATCGAAAAAGTGTTGAATTTTTCTTTTAAAGGTACCGAATTACAAATCTCCTTCTCATTTGAAATTTTCAACTTGACGAGATCCGTCCTCCAAAAATCGTCCACTTTCCATTCCATTCGACGAGAATTCGCAAAGCGTTTGGAAGACTTTGTTTCAAAAATTGCGAGCGATCGGATCGAATCGATTAATAATTTAATCAAGGTCGTCCTGAAATACGGAGAGATCGGCGGGGAAGCGAGGGGGGGATGATGAGACCCCTCCATCGATCTCGAGACGGGTCTCGCGACGAGTGGTCGAAGCCACTCAAAGCATCCGTTACCGAAATACATAAGGGAGAGGAAGAAAAACGCGCGGCAGTACGAAAATGTCCGTCACTCCGGGCGAAAATAACTCCGGGTCGGTGGCGACCATCCCATCTATCACCTTGCTCGCACTCGCTTAAAGCTTCATCGCGCGCGCGTACTAATCACACGAGCTTAATTTAACCACGGTATAATCCACAACCGATTACGGCCCATACGGCGATAAAACCTACATAATTAATATACCAGGGGATTAGATTTATCCGTTTAGATATGGATATCCCGATCATCGATTCGATGAACGGCTTTTTTGTAAATTATTTATATGTTAATTACGAATTCGAATTATCGAGTGTTTTGTATTCGAAAGTAATCGTAAAAAATATTATAATTTTTCCTTTATTTGAAAATTAGTAACGATGATAATTGGCTTAACATCTGTATGTGATTTATTAATTTTAAACCTAGTCAAGCAAAGTAAAATGATATTAAATTGTTTAATCAACCTGTCAATGATCGATTCGAATGTTGAATTTTTTCTAAATTATTTATATTAATTATGATTATCCGTATTTTATTCGAAAGTAATTGTAAAAAATATTCGAAATTATAATTTTTACTTTATTTGAAAATTAGTAACGATGATAATTGGTTTAACATCTGAATGTGATTTATTAATTTTATAAATAAATTATAATTATAATATTTATAATTTATAATATTTATTAATTTTATAATAAATTATATAAATCTAGACAAGCAAAGTAAAATGATATTCGTTTAAATTGTTCGATCAATCTGACTCGATGTTAAATTTTTTGTAAATTATTTATATTAATTACGAATCCGTTTTATTCGAAAGTAATCGTAAAAAATATTATAATTTTTCCTTTATTTGAAAATTAGTAACGATGATAATTGGTTTAACATCTGAATGTGATTTATTAATTTTAAATCTAGACAAGCAAAGTAAAATGATATTAAATTGTTTAAATTGTTTAATCAATCTGCCAATGATCGATTCGATGTTGAATTTTTTGTAAATTATTTATATTAATTATGATTATCCGTATTTTATTCGAAAGTAAAAAAATATTCGAAATTTAATAATTTTCTCTTCATTGAAAATTAATAACCATTCGATGCTGAATTTTTTGTAAATTATTTACATTAATTATGAATCCGTATTTTATTCGAAAGTAATTGTAAAAAATATTCGAAATTTAATAATTTTCTCTTCATTGAAAATTAATAACGATTCGGTGCTGAACTTTTTGTAAATTATTTCTATTAATTATGATTCTGAAATCTATCTATTTATTCGAGCAATTATAAAAAATGTTCGAAATTATAACCTTTCCTTTATTAAAAATTAATATAATTCGATGCTGAACTTTTCGTAAATTATTTCTATTAATTATAATTCTGGAATCTATTATTCGAGCAATTATAAAAAATATTCGAAATTATGATCTTTCCTTTATTAAAAATTAATATGGTTCGATATCTAGATACTTTAATCATAAATCTAGCGCGAATAAAATGAAATAAAAATGATATTCGTTTAAATGGTTCGATCAATCTTCCATCTCGAAGATGAAAATTCCACCGATTTCTCGGTTAATCGATCGAATCAACTATTATCGAAGATTAGAATTAGTAACGTAATCTGTGGAACGTAAGAGAGGAGAATTCGAAGAGGGAAGATAATATTACCGTCTCCCATTAAATTCGGCAATTAATCAAACAAGAGAGTAGACCGTTTCTTCTTCTTCTTCTTCTTCTTCTTCTTCTTGCCTCGAAACCTCGAAACCCCTTCTCGCCTTCTTCCTCCTCTCTCCTTCTTCCTCCTCTCTCCGGATGATCGGCTTGATTAACTCGATTATCGTCCTTCTTTCTCTTGTTCCAGGTGCGCACCTTGTTCGTGAGCGGCTTGCCGATGGACGCCAAGCCGAGGGAGCTCTATCTGCTCTTCAGAGCATACGAGGTGAGTCTTTTTCTTTCTCTTCTTATTCTTATTGTTTCGTCTCTTAACGGGATAAAAACGAAACGAGATTTTTAATTTTTCCTACAGATAGATTTTTTTTTTAAAATCTGTAGAAAGTTGATTTGTCCAGTGGAAAATGTTTAAGTGGAAATTAATTTTGATAGATTTTGTTTGAGTAAAAAAACACAACAATAGGGAATTTCTGTTTAATTTTTTAAATTTTTGATTTGACACAGGGAGAGAAAGTTTCTTTTGAATTTTTCCACCAAAATTTTAATAACCAAAACCAAAGTTGTTTTGTGCAGTGTAATGTTTGCGTTCGTTTAAGTGGGAATTAAATTTGATGGGTTTTGTTTCAGATGTTTCAGAGAAAAACAGAAAATTTCTTTTTTAATTTTTCTACGAAAATTTTAATACCAAATTTTTGTTTTGTGCGGTGTAATGTTTGCGTTCGTTTAAGTGGGAATTAAATTTCATAGGTTTTGTCTGAGATGTTTAAAAAAATACAGGGACAGGAAATTTCTTTTTAATTTTTCTACGAAAATTTTAATACCGAACCAAAATTGTTTTTCACACTGCAACGTTTGCGTTTGTTTAATTTTTGAGAATTAAAGCTGATAGGTTTTGTCTGAGATGTAGAAAATAACACAGAGAATTTCTTTTTAATTTTTCTACTGAAAATTTTAATACTGAACTTTTAATACTGAAAGTTGTCCTATATATAGTAAGATTTGAATAAAAATTGAATTCGATGGGTAAATTTGTTAAAAATTGAAATTTGAAATTGAATGGAATTTTCGATCGAATAATCGTTTCGAATATCGTACTATCCATTTCTCAAAAATAATCTTTCTGATCCTTAAGCTAATCGATAATTTTAAACGACTTAAAAGTAAAAGTAATTTTGGATGGAGAAAAAAAAAAATCTGGATTATTAAATTTTATAACCTTGTCAATTGAATTTCCTTGTTACTTTTTTTCTTTTTTTTTTTTTTTTCGAAACTCGATCTGATATTTTACGCGAAAAACAAGAGATCGAAGTGGATCGAAAGTGAATCCGTACGAATCGTCGAAAGAGATCAGATAAGGGCTTGAACGTAACTTTCGAATCGTGAGAAACGGATTATTCGACGTGATCTCATCATCATCCGAGGGAGAGACGAAATTTTCGCATTATCGATCGATTTTGAATTGTTAAATAAATCAGATAATAATTTAATAAAATAGCAAATGAAATATTTCTTCTTTTTTTTATTGATGTTGGATCACTAGATATTATTTTTATTTCTTCCTTTGATAAAAATACAAATTTTCGAAAATTGATATTAACGAATATTTTTTTTTTTTTTTTTTAATCGAATTTCTGCGATTTTTCTTAACTCTACAGTCATCGAGTTATACTACTTATCTTACTTTTTTTACTAAGCGGTTGGTTTATACTACTAGTAGGATAAGTGGTATAAATCATTCATAAGGTGAAAAAAGAGTAAGTAGTACAGGTTAACAGCATGGCCAGTCAGGACGGTGAATAAGTAGATTCAGACTGGTGATGTGATCAGACATTTTATACACATACTCTTATTTATTTATTCGTTATTATTATTGTAAATTATTCAAAATTTTACGTTTATTCAACTTTACTTTAAGATTATTTTAACCTTATTTTTATCTTTATCTTCAAATATAAATATTTTTCCTTCGTTCAAGCGAGTGTTGGCCGTTAACCAGTTATAATAAATAATAATTACCGAGGTGACTTTATTCGTACTACTTGAACTACGAGAATTTTATCCACGAATTCTCGAGCATATTTCGACTCGATTTCCATTATTTTTATCGCGATTCGATAATTAATTTTTCTCTTTAAAATTTCAATGGTTAATCGAGATGCCTCGAATCAATGAAACTGTTCCATCTGTTTTGTCCCTCCTAGGAGAATCGAACGATATATACTTGGCGAAACTGTATCACCGTCAATATAAATCAGCCTTAATCCATTCGGGAGGGTGCAACACGATATCGTACAACGCACAATTGGACGGGAAATTAAAGACCGCCATGACAAATGGAAACAACATTTTAATCGAATCGTGCCCCTCCCTTCCTGTTACGTTGATAAATATTGGCTAAACATAGGCTGGATACTGGATTCAAACTATATCCAGTGTGACGCAATTTAGTTTTTTTTTATTTATTTATACAGCGTGATTAATTTCGTTTTGAAAATATATGTTGTTGTATAATATTGTTTAAAATTTAATTGAAAGATTAATTATCCGAACGATATAGAAACGATTTGTTAATTTATTAAATTTCATTCGAGGAGATTAATTATCGAGAGAGAGAGAGAGAGAGAGAGAGAGAGAGAGAGAGAGAGAGAAAAAAATGGTTGCATTATCTTCATCGATGGGATAAAATTAATTATGCGATACAAATTGATTTTTAATCGAGGGCAATTTGTCTCTCAATAAAATTACATGTATCGTGAAATAACATTAACTCGTTAATCGTGGGCATAAGCGTTCAAGAGTAAATCAACTTGATGAGACACTTAAAAATTTAAATTAGAATTTTAATAAATTAGATTGACAGGTAATCGAGACAGACAACTTTGACAAAGTTTATCTTAATTCTGTAATAAAATAAAATAAAAATATTAAATTTGAAGCACGAATCATTTCAAGATTTATGATACTTTTATATCGAAATAACGCGATACCAATCTTCTTGAACGCTTAACTCCATGATGAAATCGAAGCACGAATAAAGAATAATTTAAAAAATTACAATACTTTTTTTTTTAATGAAAATTCATACGAATCGAAAAAAAAATACGATTCTAATCTTTTCTAAATCTTTCTTAAATCCTAATAATAATAACGAAATGAAAACATTTTAAATTGGGAAGAAATTCAAAATTCAAAGCGCGAGCAAAGAATAATTTCAAAAATTTGCCCTCATACGATATTTTATTAATAAAAATTCACAATACCAATCTTCTCCAAATCTTCTCCATAATAAAATCAGAGAAATTCAAAATTCAAAAATTAGGACCTCATACAGTACTTCATTGACGCAAAATTCACATAAATCGGAATAAAATATCATACCAATCTTTTCCAAAATCTTCCATAATAAAATCAGAGAAATTCAAAATTCAAAAATTAGGCCCTCGTATAGTACTTCATTGACACAAAATTCACATAAATCGGAATAAAATATCATACCAATCTTTTCCAAAATCTTCCATAATAAAATCAGAGAAATTCAAAATTCAAAAATTAGGCCCTCGTATTCTTCATTGACACAAAATCGGAATAAAATCGCGTACCAATCTTCTCCAAAATCTTCCATAATAAAATCAGAGAAATTCAAAATTCAAAAATTAGGCCCTCATATAGTACTTCATTGACACAAAATTCACATAAATCGGAATAAAATATCATATCAATCTTCTTCAAAATTTTCCATAATAAAATCAGAGAAATTCAAAATTCAAAAATTAGGCCCTCGTATACTTCATTGACACAAAATCGGAATAAAATCGCGTACCAATCTTCTCCAAATTCTTCCATAATAAAATCAAAGCGAAACCTAAATTGCCTTTGAAGAAATCGAAGATTCAAAAAACGAAGGATAATTTACAAGAAGAGTCGAAAGGAGAGCCATCCATCATGCTCACCCACTCTCAATTTTCGCTTCTTCCACGGATATTCGTTTGTTATTAAAAAAGAGAAAGAAAGGAAAAGTGTCGATATCCTGAACAAAAAAACAGCGAAAGCCTGCGTTTACCTTCTTACACCCCCTCCTCACCTTCTCACCTTTCAAAACTCGACACAACGATCTCAGAACGACGCGCTTCCCTCCATCCTCCATTCTACATCTCTGAGTTGCAGGGAATCCCTCTCTCCGTTTTATCGTTAAAATTGTCACGTCCACCAGGATATTCTCGTCTGCCGGTGACAATACCGTTATCATCCCCCTCTCACCCTCTAGACAGACAGACAGACAGACAGACAGAGAGAATTCACCTCGACACAACTGGGAGGCGTCCACTTCGATCTTCATCGCGCCTTCACCTTTGCTTCCGTCGAATCGATCGAGCACAAATTTTATTTTATTTTATTTTCGAGAAATATTTTCATTCGCCGTTGTTCGGTGAAAGAAACAAGAGGATCGTGTTGTTTATTCGTTAATTCTCCTTATTCTGAATAATTGGTTTGATTCGAGAAATATTATGGTGAACGAAAGAAATAAGAGGATGAAGTCATTTCTTATTTCTCTTATTCTGGTATTTTGGTAAGTTAAAGATTAAAAGAAATGCAATAATTCGAAGTTGGATTAGTATTGGATCGTTTCGATGATCGGTGGACGAATTATTTGAACGTTTTGCAATGAATATTCATTTCGGTGAACGAAAGAAAAAATAAGATGGAATTATTCGTTATTTCTTTTATTCTGGTATTTTGGTAAATAAGAGATTAAAAGAAATGCAATAATTCGCGGTTGAATTAGTATTGGATCGTTTCGATGATCGGTGGACGAATTATTTGAACGTTTTGCAATGAATATTCATTTCGGTGAACGAAAGAAATAATAAGATGGAATCATTCCTTGTTTTCCTTATTCTGGTATTTTGGTAAATGAGAGATTAAAAGAAATGCAACGATTCGCGATTCGCTTGGATTAATATTGGATCGTTTCGATGATTGCGAATATTCATTTCGATGAATAAAAGAAAGAAATAAGTTATTTATTCGTTATTCCCCTTATGGTTTGATTCGAGAAATATTTTCATTGCCGTTGTTCGAAAGAAATAAGAGGATGGAGTCATTTCTTATTTTCCTTATTCTGGTATTTTGGTAAGTTAAAGATTAAAAGAAATGCAATAATTCGCGGTTGAATTAGTATTGGATCGTTTCGATGGACGAATTATTTGAACGTTTTGCAATGAATATTCATTTCGGTGAACGAAAGAAAAAATAAGATGGAATCATTCA